CATCCATCCATCCATCCATCCATCCATCCATCCATCCATCCATCCATCCCACACTAGCAGCACAACAGAGGGTTTCCACCGTTACAGCCGTAGACGAGCCGTACGGGAACAAACAGAACTAGGAGTCATATTTTCTGCCACACATTCGAGGACGACCCGGTTTGTGCGTCGCCGCCGGTGAGAACTCGGGCTAACTTCCCGTAACCCGGAGCGTTGGATGGGCAGGCGCGCTGGGCGTGGTCGAGCCTGGGAGGCGAAACCGAGGGAGAGAAAGTCCGCGGCGGACTGCAAGCGGCGCACAGACGAGCCGGCTTTTCACTTCGCATCACGTCAGGCCTGCGTGCTGTGGTTTCAGGACATGTGCATGAGTGTATCCGTGCAGCGGGGAGTGTGTGGCTGCACGGCGAGCAGAGAGGAAAGGCTTTGGGGACACGACTGTGACGCTGCTGCATGAGGAGAAGAGCTGTCCAGGGGCGAGATCTTCTTCTGCTCCAGTTACAGCGGTCAGACACCAGCACAGTCCTCCACGGTCCACTTCATGTCCATTTCCTGGTGACCTCCGACCCCTGCTGGCTGAGTGGACGTCCTCGGGCTGTGTGGATGCTCTGCTCGGCTAAATGAAGCAAAAACAGAGGACGAGGAATTACGTTCCCTCTGATGAGTAACTCCACTTAAAGAGTAGCGTGTTTGTGATATCATGCGCTGATACTGAGTGTTGTCCGTGTGCTGAAGCCCCGCGTGGCGTCTTCCTCTCATCCAGAGGCAGGTTCATTTGGCTCCCGTGATCCAACAGAACCAGAACCACAGGAGGAAGGAGAGAACTCAGATGTCTTCTGATGCCAACAACCCTAAAACATGAATAACAGTGAATTTCTGTCATTGTTTAATTTATAAAACTGAAGAACTGGAGCCTCCACATGTGATGCATGTTTTCCGGCTCACGTTTTGTTGATCTCGTACTCGTCCTGCAGTTCAGTCACACAGTTCTCCTGCAGCTCCGTCGATCAGAGCTCCTCAGCTGGTGACCGTAACAGAATTTAACAGAACCTCGTCTGTGAGTCATTTATTTTTGGAGATTTTATTAAATAATTATTAACGAGATAAAGTTTGCGGGCCAGCAGCCCGTTTGTTGTTCAGACAGGAGTAACGATGTCTGTTTTTTCTTTTCTTAGTATTTAACTGGTTCATCTTTGTCACTCAGGAGCACAAGATATTAAAACAAAAAAAATTCTCACATAATCTGGTGCAACAGCCCATTTTTTAATAATTTTATAATTCATATTAAATGAATCAACAGATTTTGATGAAATGTCACAACTTTAAGCTCAGATCTGGTTCATTTTCACAACAGAGCTGCTCATCACATAGATCATCTAAAAAGTCATGATTTATGAGAACTTTACAGTTTGTAGCTCTGATAAAGCGACAAAATAAAATCATTTTAAGCTCAGCTTTGGTCACTAATCACACTTAATTAATTCAACGTCTGTCTGAAAGTTCAAATCAAACCTTTATTTCCGTGTTTACGGCGTCTGGCTCAGACTCCTGCTTTATTTCTGATGATTTTTGTCGATGAAGTGTTGAACTGGTTCATCTTTCTCACTCAGGAGCGCAGAATAGTTTTTAATTTTTATTTTTTTTAAAAAAACCGGGGCAAAAACCCATTTTTGTGTATTTTTAAAATTCATACTAAACTAAACAAGAGATTTTGGTGAAGAGTCACAACTCTAAGCTCAGCTTTGGTCACTAATCACTCCTCATTAACTAAACGTCTGCCTAAGAGTTCAAAGCGAACCTTTCTGTCCATGTCTCCAGCGTCTGGCTCAGACTCTTTGTTTCTGCTGATCTTCTTCTATAAGCTGTAGAATGAGGTGGTTCTGACTCGTGAAGCTCAGACTGGGTTAACTGGTCGTATATAGTTTCTGGTTTTTGCGGCTGATGAATGGCGTCGTTTTAAAGCATAGCGTGCCTTTCCACTCGGCCGGTGGGTTTCCTGGTTCAGAGGTCGGGCTGTGTTTGCTCTGAGCTCCATAAACCATTAAAAACACATTAGCTCTGCTCTGGGTCGCATGTTCCTAAACTAGCAGCGACACTCTGCAGTCTGCTGGAGCTGCAGCGCGTTTACAGTCCTGCTGCTGCAGACAGGCTCCAGATCCAAACCGGGTCGGAGCAGCAGCAGTAGAACCCACATGTCGGGCCGACGCAGGTGATCATGGAGCGAGAACATGTTTCATATTCTGGGAGGTGATTGTGAGGAGACAGTAGTAGGAATATGGAACGATGCCGGGCTTATCAAAGCGCTATCCGAGGCAGAGTGTGAGTCAGAGCCGGTTCAGCCCGAGTTCATTAAGCCCAGACAGACGAACATGTCAGGAAAGTGTGAATCAGCGAATAAAGCCGCAGCCGAGCTGAACTTTCTGTGGAGCTTCTCAGAGTTTCAGTTTCTCCTGAGAGGCCACGAGGTCGCGGAATGAAAGCGGCGCCGCGGTCCAGTGTGTGCATGTGCAGGCGAGCCTCCGCCGTTTGGTGTCTGTCTGAGGCGGGTTCAGCCCGGTGCCGTGACTCACCGCCGGTTCTCATCACGTCGAACACCATCTCGTCCAGAACTGGATTCCTCTCCTTTGTTCTGCTGCTTTTTTTGGAGTTCGTTTTGTAGCCGAGGTGAAGCGCTCAGAAGGACGGAGGCCAGGTTCTGGATGTGGTTCAGTCCAGATGTCGGCGAGTCTTTTATGTCGTAGCTTCATCTGTTCATCTCTGACGGGAAACCAGCACCGGTCCTGATTATCTGATCTTAAGTCAAACAGTCGCTGCTTCCGGCTCCCTAAACGGGAGGATTTGCAGTTTTACATAAAATGGTTCTGTTGTTGGACTCTGGAGGCGGTTCTGATGTTTCTCAGTTCATGAGGACGTGACGTAGCAACGCGTCGACAAACTAACACGATGAGAACGACCAGAGTCGCCCAAAGTTCTGCTACGACAGAAACCTTCATGACTACGCAGACAAACGGGACGAGCACTGGTGGGACCGATCAGAACCACTTTTCCTAAAAACGTTGACAGATGAGGAACTTCTTCCTCTCTTTCACTGACGCCTCGAAGCTGCAGTAATAATTCTGTCAACCCTGAAGCTCCGCTAAAGTTCTGTTTGCTGCTGCGATGTTTGGACCCAGAGACGATCCGATTTACTCGTCAAAAGGAGGATTCATGGAGGAAATAAAGAGCCTAATCAGCAGAACTGTGCAGCTAAACAGTGATTATTGAATATGTGGAGCAGGAGCCGCCGCTCGGAGGTGTTAGAATTAAAAACAGAAGCTTAATGTCAGGATATCGACACCGATGGAAGGAAATCAGTAGAAACATTACAGACAATTAAAACCACAAACGAGACATTAGGACGGAATAAAGTGTGATATGAAGCTAGAATATAAACCAGAGCAGGACGTGAACGTGTGAATGCATCAGCTGCAGGTTGACGGGTTTTAAATGTTCAGGTTGTGCGGCTGTCAGTCCGTTGGGTGGTGTGGGGGGGTTCAGGTCCGGTCCGGTCATGGAGCAGCTCAGAGGGAAGACGTCTGTAGTTTGACTGTCCTATAGGAGTGGATGCTGTCACATGGTGTCCAGTCCAGGTGGAGTTTCAGCGTTTTGTTGTGCTGTAATCCTCATCAGGGCTGCTGACTATTCCCAGTCGCTCTGCTCCTAATTTTCTTCTGTAGATCCTCTTTTCTGCGTCTGCGACCTCCTAATTTCCCCACAGGGAGCCGCTTCCATCTTCTCTTATTAAACTTCATGTGTGTTCGGCGACGGGGACGAGCAGCCATGCAGCAAATTGTCCTTGTCATCTGCGTGTCACCGGCGGAGTCGGTGACCTCGGCGAGGACTCGGCGTCCGCCCGCCCGCTCGGCGCCGAGGCCTCTGAGGGCCGCACGCCGGGACGCGTCGGTCGACTCGGCGGGGAGGACGGCGCCCCCCGGCCCGAGACGCCGCTAATGAGAGAGTCGACCCGTTAGCTTCCTGCTGCTGAGCGTACTCAGATTATTTATTCACCTAAAACGTCCACGCTGTTGTTACCCACATAGATATACAATAATAGAAGCTGCACACGCTGTTGTTACC